TTATCCCTTGTGCAACGAGGTTTACAGGAATGCGAAATAGCGTGTCCACTATATTTCGCAATAGTGGATGCATTCAAAAGATGTGGGGTAGCTATTTTGGGATACCTCTGGTATCCCGAAATAACATTGCAGTGTAGACGTACCCGAAGACAGTACAAATGGCCAGACTGGGTCAGACCAATGATCTTGCTAGCCCAGTCGCCCATCTTCTGACGGTGGCCGATGCCAAATGCTTCAAACACAATGGACAGAAGAGGCAATTATCAAGTGATCCGTTCTCCGTCCAGCAGCTGGAAGGCTGAGGTATAGGGATAGCTGGAGGACAGGACTGTGTCCTTGGCTAAGAGCCCTTAGTGGAGTCTTTCTCCGTGCAATTGCTCACTTTTGTATTGAAGACGATTACAGGTTGGCTTTGGTGACATCGACTAGCAAGGAGAGCCATATGCTGACTGTGCCTTGCAGGAAGCTGTACCACCTTTGGTTTGGTTTAAATCTGCTGCCTTTTCATGTCCTTGGGTCAGCTGGACTCTTGTGTTATGGGAAGGGGTGAATAACACATCCTTAGTCACCTCTCCACATGGCTTACAGAGCTCTAGCCTATCCAACACTTGTAAGGGGAGCCGGGCCTCCCTACCCCGTGGGTAAGCCTCCCTCCTCTCCCAGCCACTAGGCTAAAGGTTACATGGTAGGCCTCAGCCTCCTTCCCCCACTTGCCTCAGTTGTTTGACGGGCAAAGGTACATTATGAGAAATGATTTTGGCACCTAAGTGGTTCCTGGCCATGGATCACAAGCAAAGGTCGGTAACTGGGATGGGTAGATGCCAGTTCAGTTTCCTTCTCCCTGCCTGAGGAGAAGAGATGTGAATAGGGCTCTGCATTTTCTCACTTGTGAGTCCCAGTCAGGGACCAAGGTGGGCTGCACCTTGTAGCATCCTGAGGTTGTGTCATTGTTATTAAGGAGCAATTAGGCAAGGTAGCTGTAGCCCTGTGGGCTGGCTGCTTACCCTGCTCTGAGTGATGCAGGTTCAATCCCTTCTTCAGCTTCCTGAGAAGGGACTTGAACAGCTGTCTCTGAAGTGACTGTCCAGCTGCTAGACTAAGAGGTGGTCTCCCTAGGGTGGGCCTGGTGTTTGTTACTTCATCCTCTTCTGCTCTTGTTCCACTTTCATCCCATATTCATGAGGGTCAGCAGGCTAGCAAGCAGCCATGTGGAGCCTAGCAGTTGTGGTGTGTGCTTAGCATGTGTTAGCTTGGGGTTCAAATCTCCGTTTGTTTGATGAGAAGAGAATTGAACCTTGGTCTCTCCGGTGGCTGGGCTAGGTGCTATTCTGACCTGGCGCCTCCCTTGCTCTTCTCTGCTGAAGCTGCTCCACTTTCAGTAACATTCATTGGGCCAGAGTTCCAACAAACAGCCCTTTGTAGCTTATGGGTTGGGTGTCTGCCCAGTAGGTGAAAGGTTGGGTTCACGTCCCCTGCTTACTTGTTGACTCTTATCTCTCAAGTGGTATGGAGAGGGCAGATAAAGAAAAGTTATTAATTAGTTCCCATAATAGAAGAACTAGAAGACACCAAATGACATTAATGGGTAGCAGGTTTAAAACCAATAAAAGAAAGTTCTTCTTCACACAGCGTGTAGTCAACCTGTGGAACTCCTTGCCAGAGGAGGCTGTGAAGGCTAGGACGATAACAGAGTTTAAAGAGAAGCTAGATAATTTCATGGAGGTTAGGTCCATAAAAGGCTATTAGGCAGGGGATAGAAACGGTGTCCCTGGCCTCTGTTTGTCAGAGGCTGGAGAAGGATGGCAGGAGACAAATTGCTTGATCATTGTCTTCGGTCCACCCTCTCTGGGACCCCTGGTGCTGGCCACTGTTGGCAGACAGGCTACTGGGCTAGATGGATCTTCGGTCTGACCCAGTACGGCCATTCTTATGTTCTTATGACTGGGCTAGTAGGTATTCCAATGTGCTGGCTCCTTCACTGTTTCCTTTTGAGGATGGGCTGCTCTCGCTAAATAGTCATGGAGCCACAACTACCCCCCATAAGTCTCCCTGTAGTCCAGGGATTTGGGTGCTTGCCCCTTAAGCAGTGGAAGTGCTGATTCAAATTCCCTTTCTGCTCCCTGAGAAGGGATTTGACCATTGACCTCGTGACTCCCTTTGTATTCCTGCGCTTTGGGTCCCTTGATGCTTGTGGAGAAATGCGAGGCTGTGTGAACTGTTCTCTGAAATTGTTCCATTTTAACTATATATTAACCAGGGCACAATAAGCTTCCAAAGCTCTTGGTGGTTTGGGGGTAAGGGTGCTCACCTACAGTGTAAGTGCCTCTGGATCAAATCCTTCCTCTACCAGGCAGGAGGGCTTCTTGTGGGTGGGAGCAGATCTCTTCTCGCTCATCAACAGGCCATTTACAGCCTGTCTTCTTTTTCTAATTAAAAGAGGAATTCCCTGGGCAGTAAAAAAACCCCCACTCACTTTTGTCCACCATGATCAGGATACAGGCACGGGTTGTGGCAGACTATGGATGGCATTTGAATAATTGTGCAGTTTTTAGCAGTTACACGACTATTTGATAGTCCCTGGGGGCAGGACTGGCAGCCAGTGAGTTCCTGGCTTGCCATCCCGTGCTGCTGCCTCTGTGGCACATGGAGCTGGTCCGCAAGGGGAGCTGGTTTAAAAATTGGCTCCCCATGCAAACCGGATCCGGTCTGCCACCCCTTTCTGTGGGGGGTCCCCCACCTCTCAGTGGACGGAGGCTAAGATACCAGCACCGCTCACTGTCTTTCAAAGCATATTGGAAAAAATCTCAGTTTTTGTCTCCGTTCTTAATTTGTCTCTGCTGCTGGGGAGAAAGTATGGTCTGATGCAGGGGTGGCCACGAATTTGTAAAGCGGTAAAGGGCTGCACTCTTCTGTGATATTAATGGAGGAGGTGCAGCATCTGGGATGGAGGTTGGTTGGCTGCAAAGAGAACTTTGGCTGCAGTAAGGGATTTGGGTGCAGGGAGAGGGTGTGGGGAATCTGGGAGGGAGTTTGGGTGAAGGCGGCAGTTGTGATCTGAGGCAAGGACTGGGGTGCAGGGGTTGTGACCTGGGCCAGGGAACTAGGATGCAGGAGGGACTGCAGGGGTTTGGGTTGTGACCTGGAGCAGATTGTAATACAGGATGGAGGGCAGAGGGTTTGGGTTATGTGGGGTGCCAGAGGCAGGCTCTGGCCAGAAGACTTAACTGCATGACTCCGGGTCAGCAGCCTTCTCAGGCAGACTCCCTGCCTGCCCCACGCCTACACTGGCTGCAGGGGCCAGGTGATCTTTGAATAGCTACAAGCCTAAGGGAAGGGGGGGAGAGCTGCTTGACAAGTGGCAGCGAGATAGTGCTGGGGGTGGGACAGGGCAGTGTAAGAAACCTCCTTCCCCTCCCTCCTCAGGCTCATAGTTGTTCAAACCAGGCCCCACAGCAGCTGCTTTTCTCAGCAGAGAGAGAGAGAGTGTGTGTGTGTGTGGGGCAGGGGGCCTGCCTGAGGTTCCCCACAGTGTCCACGGACCATATCTGGAGGCTTAGCAGGCTAGATCCAGACTGCAGCCTGTATTTTGCCCATCTTTGGTCTAATGCATGCAGTGTGGGACATCAGACATTCTGAGTCCATTGCCAGCTCTCTCTCTCTCTGAAACCTTCTATGGCTTTAGGCTATATTCCTTATGGCTTAATTTACTCATACATATAACCAAGACACTAATTCTCAATACTCCTGCCTCAGCAATGTGTTTGTGAGGCTTAATTCATTAGTATTTATAAACAACCCTATCTTCACCATATTAGTGCTATTAGATAATGCTGTAGAACATTTTATGATACAGCAGTAAGGGGATGTATTGCCTTGTAATGGTACAGCGCTTGCTAGTACAGTGACATCTGTGATGTGCTTATTGGAAAGCAGAAAACCTATAGAAGCTTAAATTATATACCTTAATCAAGTTACATCCAGGATATGTCAGCTAGTCAATAAGCAACACCCAAGTGGCAATAGTATTAACTCTCTATATAAAAAGAAATCAGTCAACCACCTACATGAAAGCTTGCCAGTGAGAAGAAAAATGGGCAGAGGTCACTGTAATTACTATACCATGTAATTAAAGTTTCTAATGCCAGCAAGGGTGCTGCAGTTGAAGGCAGTGGCACGTGTGGACAAGTTGGATGCTGAACAGTCAGTGGTTGGCGCAGCGTTCAGAACCAGCCACCATGAGAGCACAGTCTGGCTCTCACAGAAGGAAGGATGTTTTCATTTGAATGAGCGCTCATCTGAAGGTGCTATTGCCCTCATGTGAGAGCACTAAAATCAGCAACTCGCCCTCTTATAATGAGGGGCCCACACTACTGCGTAATGTGAAAGAATATGTTTATGTGTCATCAGAACCTCAAAAATCCCCACTGAGGGAACTTGTTGGAACCAAGGCTACTTGAGCCAGGGCTTGTGGGTTCTAGTCTCAGTGCAGCTAATGATTCATTAAGCTCTCAAATAAGTCACGTTGCTATTTGATGCTTTAGTTAGGCCACCTTCCTATAAGTTCATTGAATGAATTAATGCTTGTAGGAACTGAGCCCCTTATCTACGTTCTAAGGAAATGCTAACTATTGCAAATTAAAGATGGGCCCGAGTAGCAGAGTTGAAGGGTGTTCAGATTCAGGGTTTCTGATTGGCACATTACAGAATGAGGAATCTACATGAAGTGTGGGTCTCAGCTCTGCTCACAAAACAACCTGAGGGAGTTTGAATGAGATATTCACCTCAGGCCTCTCTCTCACTGCACACATGAGAGGGAAAGGTGAGACTCATTTGATCTGGAAGTTCACACTAAAAGGAGTAAAGAGACCACGAAGGGATCAGCTCTGTCCGCCTAAGAGCCAAAGAAAGGAACAAGCCTGAACTTGCCATCCAACTAATAGAAAGCGTGTGTCACAGAGAAACTGAGGGAGTGTACCTAGAGAGACATGTATGAATTCAGGTTTATTCTGAATACAATCAAGTAACAGTTTATTTTTGCTTTTACTAAAAAAAGATTTATTTTACATGAAGATGATATAACTGCACATTATGGGGGGAGGGGGAGTGTGTTACAGGCACCAGCTGTGGTACACACAGTTGCTACTTATTCTTCACCATCTAAATCTATCTTCACACTTTTATTTTTTGTTCTTCAGGGAAGACAAAGCCTAAGTCTCTTAAACCCAATGTAAGTGAGCAAACCCACCCCCCTTTTCTTTTCTGCCAGAAGGAAGAAATGACTTTCTACTAAAGATGTTCCAACCCACTTACTTACAGTGATGTGCTCAGGCTAGTTATTGTGCAAAGAGTAATATGGAGCCAATCAGAGAGGAATACTCCACTGCATAATTGCCCTATTTCAAAACATTATTCCATAGTAACGATCTGTAGCACAGCTGTGCCTGATTGAGACAGAGTGAGAAGCATGCACCTCAGTACACACTCCTTCAAGAGAGAAGCGCCCTCATTGTCTGGTAATGCTGGAAGCCAGCCCATCAGCTACCCTCAGTCTTTTCGTCCCTAATCTCAGGGCAGGGAAATAGCAGCAGCCAGTGGAGCGAACGCTATTTCCCATTACAACCCTTATGATTAAGCCAGGCTCTGAGCCTTTAAATCCTTCTCCGAATAGGAGAGGAGTTTCTTCAACATTAGTAAAATACATTTGGCACCAAAGCCAGTGCACATTCAAACGTCTGCTTTTGGATAGTCGTGTTACTACCTCCCTTTCCTCCCCCCCCCCCCAAAAAATCAACCCACCCATTTTTTAATCTTGTTTAGTATAGAAAGAGATACCAGCCTGTAAGCTATCAGAACTCTATTTGCAATAGAAGAGAGTTCCTTCCCAGGTATAAATGGCAGGTGAAATTCACATCTCAGGCATTCATTTGTTTGCAACAGCAGAGAGTTGGTCTCGGATCCTTCCCAGCCCCTCTAACATAGTGTCCAGGGTTTCCTTATTCAGCTCCACAGTCACTGCGGAGATCACAGGGTTGTCCTCACACAGGGCAGGATCTTCCTGAACCTGAAGTAAAAAAGTGGTCTGAACTCACAGGAGACATCTACCTGCCCTCCGGTGCCTCCCTTCAAAGCACAACTGATTGAAGATGGACTAAAAATAGCTGATGGGCACAATAGCTGAAGAGCCCCAGTGTGCTTCCCGAACTGAACATCTCCCACCAAGGAAGCTACATTTCATTGGTGAAGACAAGCAACTACGTGGCACAACAGTGAGTAAAGGGGAAACTCTCACCCAGGCAAAACCCCATCTTGTAGGAGAAGTGTCTGATACTCTTACTAGCAGTACCAATGGGCTCTTTAGCGTCCCTACAGAGTACACAGCTACCAGATTTTTCTCCTCTCACATAGTATCTCCTCTGGAAGAGACCATCCATCCCAACTCACTTTAAAGGTTCTTGAAGCACAGAGGGTTGAGTGGACCTCCTGGGATTTAAACTTGCACATCCAGGGAATCTAGCTATTCCCTCCTCCTCCCCGTCTCACCTGATCTACGTGTCAGTGAGGGAGGTCTCCTGTAGCCAAAAACTAACCCCAGAATAATCTACTAAAGAGATGGTGGGTTAGAGTGAATAACAGTCTTGGATGAAGGGCCAGATGGCACCTTATGATTTGCTAGCCTAATGTGGTCTCCATGGGTGTGTCTAGACTACAGGGTTTTGTCGACAAAAGTGGACTTTTGTCGACAAAACTATACCTGCGTCCACATTACCTTTGAGTTATGTCGACATAACGTTGACAAAACTTAGCAGTTTTGTCGACGTATGTAAACCTCATTCGATGAGGAATAACGCCTTTTGTTGACAGAGTTCTGTCGATAGAAGGCATTATTGCATCTACACTGTCCTTTGTGTCCACACAGTTATGTCGACAAAGCGGCTTGCTTTGTCGACAGAACTGGATGTAGTCTAGACGCTCTGTCGACAGAATCTGTTGACAAAACTTCTGTCGACAAAACCCTGTAGTCTAGACATACCCCATGTGTCAGAGAATTCAAGTTGTCCTAGAGCTCAGCAAGCTGGCTCCTTGTAATAGCAGAGAACTTTCCCATCCTCCAAAGGGTCTGTCATGGTTCCCCCTCTAGACCTCATTCATTCATGGGGGATCCACCCATATTTCTCTTGTATCATTTCTATTTGTGCCTATCTAGCATCACAAGTAAGTTAGCACTGAACTCTTCTCTGCTGCTACAGAGTGATTCTCTTGCACCTGAACTCTCACCTGGACACAGTAACCCATGCATTACCTTCAACTGTAGTAGACAGGTGGGTACTGCCATTCTGCCGATGCTGTCCGAGGAGGTCTTGATGTCCACTCTCCAGTCCATGTCAACCAGCCGAGGTAGGGAGACTGCAAGATTGAAAGTTACATTTAGTTAAAGCTTATGACTTGGGCTTGTCCACATGCAGTAATCCCAGCTTTTGCTATAGGAGCCACTGAGATGTTGCAGATAACCATTTCCATGACATCAGATTGCACTGAAACAAACCAAAAGCCTATAATCTCCATAGAGGCACAAAGCACTTTCTGGTTCCAAATCAGGCCGCTGCTCTGTACAACATGTAAGTTGCAGGCAGCTGGGAATGAAACAGCACACAAGGCAACCCTAGAGAGAGTGCAAAACAAGCAGGGGAGAGGAGCAATAAGGCTTATTAATTCCTTTCTCCAAAGGACCCCCTATGCCAGCATTCTTCTTGCTTTACCGAACTGGCTTCTCCCTGAAGCCTACAGCCAGCATTTCAATGTGCCTTGATTTGGGCCCTACAGTGTGTCCTGCTCCATGCTGCAGTTGAAAGATAAATCATGTAGGAATGATCTGAAAACTCAGCAATGCAAAATACATGATTTCCACTCCCATGCCTGCTAGCAAAGGAACTCTGGGGTACAGTGTATGTGCTGGGGCACAGCCACCTCTCTGCATCTGGCCAATTCATTAAATGCACCAAAGCACTTGCACTTGATGGATGACCAATGATTTAAGCCTGACCCAATTTCCATCGCATTAGAGCGGATTAATTCAACAGTGTAATGAAATGCCGATGTTGGTGCTTAAGATGCCCAGAACACTATAAACCTGTTAAGAGAATGAGGCTATTTGAACTTGGCTGACCATTTGACATTTAAGAATCTATATTCTACCTAGGAGAGAAAAAGGTTACATCGTTTCATCTGATGGAGCATACACAGCCTGGCTGTGTCTTTCAAGGTTAAGAGGTCAGAGGCTGCACAAAATTAAAAGCAGAAGTAGTACAGCAAATCTCCTAAAGCAGCAGGATAATCCCACAACTCACCTTGTGTCCAAACTGGAAAGGCTACTAATACAGGGAAAGCCTGGGAAAATAACTACAAGCTGCATTCCAAACACGAGCATAGATCTTTGTAGGGCAGTTTTTCCTTTCTGAAGTGCTTTGGTGTCTAGTGAATAGTTAACAATGTTGACATTTAAAGGCATCTGACTCAGCCCCCTTTTAAGTGCCCCGACAGTTCATATCTCAGAGACATTTTGTCAGAGTCTCTGCAAACTTAAGCTCTGTTTCAACTATACTTCCTACGCTTTTTTTAAACTTTTCTTTGCAACCCTAACAACTGAGGAGTTGTCTTTCAAAAGAAAGCTGACACTGTAGAGAACAACTCATAGCCAGTATGGGCGCCCCCTGACTCCTCCCAGTGGGCAGAGGCAAGGGGCAGCATACCCAACAGTCTGGGAAAATAGCACAGTAAGAAAATAAAGGGTTTTCAAACATCTTGATGAAGTACAGGTGATGGGGGTGAGGCTGTGCCATGCAGCTGCATGACATAACTGCAATTACAGCACCTGCTTACACTAAATATTGTCCTAATTGTAGTTTTTCACATTTCTTCACATTACAATGCGATCTAAGAGATAACTTGAGCCAGCACCATGTGCCCAACCATGGTCTATCGGCAATAGCTCTGCTGACACATTCAGGAACTCTGCTTTAGGGCTTCTGGCCTTTATCTTAATCACGTACTAGCTGCTGAACAGGCTATTCCACCATGTTGGAAAAAGCTATTCTTTTCCGGGAAATGGTGGATTATGCTGATCAGGCATTTGCTGCACATTTCTAGAGGGGCAGATATAATGATTTCAACAACAAACATTATGAATGGTTGATTGACATGTGTCATAAAACTTAGGACAGTTTCCTGGGCCTCCAAAGAGCCTGGCAATGATTGCCTTGCTGATTAAAAAACAGGGCTCAACAGCTGCATCTTACATTGGGTTGTGAATGCTGCCCAATACTAGACTGTAAATGGGAGTGACTCACACACAAATGCTTGCCAGCCAAATCTGCACTGTCCCCTGGGATTCAGGTCTGGGGACAAATGGTAAGAGCAGACTCCCCAAACTGGGCCAAGTCACTGCTTGAACTTTGCTCTGACATTGCACGCGATTCTCCTGCCAAGTTGGCTAATTCAAGCTGTTTCTCTCTCTGCTTTTCCTTGAAAGGTCTTGATTTTCTTTAGGGATGTCACAGGATAACCATTTACACAGTTAACTGATAAGCTTAGGCTTACTGGTTACCATGAATGGCTACACACTACCTCCCGCCCTGCTTCCGGGGAGCTGGCTGCTGCCCCATACTGCTGCCTCTGTATGAGCAGCATGAGGTGACAGTCAGCTCCCCAGGAGCAGGGGGCCGGCAGAAGGGAGCTAGTATATGCCAGGAACCAGTTTAAAAGTGCAGCAGGTAATTTCAGTGGTTCCCCCAATTACCTGATTTTAACATTCCTATGCGGGTTGTTTTTTTAATTTAAATTTTGCGGGAAAAGTGGCACACCCAGAGCTGAAGCAGAAAGCTGAAGCAGACTTTAAGTTCGCAGAGACTCTGACAAAATGCCTCCGAGATGTGAACTGTTCAAGCATTTGAAAAGGGGGCTAAGTCAGATGCCTTTAAATGTCAACGTTAACTATTCACTAGACACCAAACCACGTCAGAAAGGAAAGAAACTGCCCTACAAAGATCTATGCTAGTGTTCAGAATGCAGTTTTTCCACAACTCTGAGCAGGAAGTTACAGCGCTGTAAAGTGGCAGTGTAGACTAGGCCTAAAATAAGCAAGCTCTTAAACCATGGAAAAGTAAGTATGAGATGACAGCATTGGTTTCCACTTCCTGAAGGGAGGCTCAGTTTTCAAAAGTTTGGCACACACCATTTTAGTATACCTCAGATTGAAATTTCAAGGTCTTGCTAACCACCTTGCAAATATTAATAACCTCAAAAGCCAGTCTGCTACTTACTCTGACTTGATTGTGCTTCGTTCCTCCAGACAGCGCTGTGCAAAAGAAGAGGAAAACAAATACGGTCAGGGCTTTAAAGGAGATTACAGCAGCAAAGCACAACAGGAATAGTGAGTGGAGAGACTCCTTGCAAAAGGATCAGTCAGAAAAGAGAGAGGCTGGAGAAAGGAGACTACCCGTAGTAGGTGACAACTTTATTGTGGCAATTGCAAGAGTTGAAGAGTGTAGAATAAAGGCAAAGGTTGGCCCATAGTACTCAGGGAAAAATTGCTTTGCCATCAGAAACTTGGTGCAATTTACTGATGGCCTGTATAGTTCTCTGCAGGTTTGCCAGGCTACCTTACCACCACAAAATGCTGCATCGTTTTAATTTTTCATTTCTTCCAAAACTGTAAGACAACCTGATGGGCAGTAAGGCTGGGCCAATGGCGAAGACACTAGTTGGAGATTTGAGTGACAGAGGTTAAATTTCCTGCTGTACCACACAATTCTGTGGGATACTCACTTAGGGTGCATCTACACAGCGGGGCTTAACTCGAAATAAGCTACGCAAGTTGAGCTATGCCAAGGTGTTCCAGGCTGCCAGCCATGTGAACACTGGGGATATGTAACATTCTCTTGCTTAACATCCAAATGCAATCAAAAGGCAAGCACTTACACATTTTCCAAAATTATCTTGGTCAGGAGGTTTTTTAGGCTCTGGTGGAAGTTCTCTGGGAAAAGAGAGAGAATTTCTTCTGCAGATGACAGGCCCCGATACACAATGTGCCTGGTGAGGTTGTGCAAAGAGCAGACCAGCTGCAGGAAAGGAACAGTTAATAGAAAAGAAGCTGATGGTCACCACATACTGCACAGGGAGTGACTTCAGTAACCAGACAGGGTGCAGGGAAATGTACATGCTTCAGGCCGGTTCCAGCAATCAGATGCATGTGTGCAGGCCCTCATGGAGTCCCACTGAAGGTCTCTCCCCCCCCCCCCCATATGGAGCCAACTGCAAAATCAGTTATAGAATTTCATTTTCTGTAAGAAATGACAAAGACCTTGCTTGATATGTGAGGCTCACAATTCACCGTACTTCAACCTGTACTAGGAATGTTAAAATGCGGTTAATTTGACTAGTCGATGGAAATTCCATCAACTAGTCAATAGGCACTTCCGCATTCCTCCTTTGAAACGTACAAGAACCCCTGCTGGGGGCACAGGTTTATGGGTGACCTTGACCATCCCTCTGTTGATGAAGGATTGTTCCCTGGAGTATACTCTTATCTATATTTTGAACTGCGTGTTCAGCCTTGGGAAAATTGAAAAAAAGAAAGCCAATGGGATTTAAGATCCTAAATCGCTTAAGCACTTCTGAATACTAGAACCCAAAATCTTGAAAAAAACCCATAAGCCAGCTAGCATGATTTAGCCTCCAATCCTGCATGGTATTCTATAGGACACAGGTGTCTGTGCCCACTGATCCCGATGTATGACTTGACTTTTAGCCAGCAGCTCTGTTTGAACAGAGTTTTCACTCAATTCACAGAATGAAACATAATTAATTAAAAACTTTGGTTAGGTAAATGGGGGAGGGAAGACCCTGTTTGGATTGTACCTAGGGCTTTAACTTACTGCATGAAATAATTTGCAGTGGCTTTTAGATGCATTAGTTTGTTCTTAAACTGCCACAGTTGCTTCTTCCTGTATAATTACTTTAGATCTTTAAGGGGCTTTACTCCCACCAACGGATTCATGATCCCTGCTATCAGACAGATGAAGGTCATTCTGGTGTATATAGAATCTGCATCCATTTTGACTGCACTTGTGAAGCAGAATTCCCCATTTTGTGTTCTAGTATCTGTGAGGATGTCCTGTCTTCACAGGCTGACACAGAGGCCCCAATGGAGTGCTGAACCTGTCCGACTGCAGCACTGAAGATGACACACTGCCTCATTAGCCATCACAGTGAAAGCTGATGATCAATTAATTACCATTAGTTTTAAAGTCTGCTTCTCACCAATGTTTGGCTGCTTGCAAAGAGGAGCAGGAGGGAAATGCACCTGCTACATGCAGGCCCTGTCAATAAGACAATTGATGAAGTGTCATTGCACTCTTACTTGAGCTGCTTCTTCTGATGTCACAGACAGTTTGGAACAGGTGCTGTCAATCAATTTGCTTGAGCTTCCTGTTGAGCTAGAAAAGCACTCTTGGCATAGCTGTCTAACTACGTCCTTTGAGGAAGCCTGGAAAATAATGAGTATGGAGCTCAGACACCATTGTTTATAATGCAGAGGAATCAGTGAGTACTTTTATAGAGTGTTTTACAACTGCAAAGCATTGCACTACTCACTCCAATATTCCCCTGGGCATTATACTAGTTTTGCAAACAGGTGAAGTGACTTGCCTGAAGCCACATAGGGAGCTGGTGGCAGACTCTGAATTTAGGCGTGCCAGGCTCCCAATCCTGTGTTGCGGGGTGTGTGTCTTCATTCAAAACTGGAATCTACTTTAAAAAAGTCCTTAAAAGGACAACAAACCATTCCTGTTACAATGCTATTTGACCACACCGACTAGGAAAAAAATACTGCTTGAAAGGATTGAGGGGGGTTGGCATATATGAATACAGACGCTTTAATTTTGCATGTGTCTGGGCTTGCTATGAAGAGGCAGTGAGGCTAAAAGTTCATTTATGTGCATGGACCTGAGCCAACATGCAAAGACACTTTCTGAATTCAACTCCAATTGAACAGGCATCTCTCCTGTCTCCAAAGTTTGCACAGATGACTAAGTACAGCTCACCCCTATAAGTGACAGCTTCCAGAGTGCACCACTCTTGATCCCAGGGAGAGAAAAACCATTTAGTCAGCAGCTCAATAAGAGCAAACATTTTTTATTCTCTCTTGTTAGTAATAAACACTAAATCACATGTATATGGCATATTTCTTTACAAACTCTATCCACGGATCAATGATATGCAGCCACCTTTGGGGCAGAACTTAGCAGCTGTTTACCAGTGCAAGGATTTAAAAAAGGAAACATGCTAACACAGGACATTTGTGTCTCTTCCCCTCTCTCCCTTTTACCTTCAATAAGATCTGCAGAGCTGCAAACTGTTCTTCTGTCACTGGAGCCATCTTAAGTCTATCATGTGACGGCAAGACTAGCAATCACAAGAGCTACGGGTAAGTCAGATGATTAGAACTGCAGTTGCCTTGCATTGTGGAAGTTGTAGTTCTAGCTGTAGCCAGCTGGCGAATTTCTAACCCGAAGCCTTAAAACAAACACATTTTGGTGATTATTTTCACGTGAAGCCATTAAAAAATGTAATGGCTTAAATAAGTAGTTCCCGGCATGACTCCTGATGCCCTGATTCTGAAAATTTAGGCACACGTGAGTTTATTTACATGAATAATTTCTAGTGAAGTCACTAGGACTAAAGTGAACAAAGTCATATGAGTGTTTGTAGAACTGAGGTTTAGCTTTGTAATGCACCACTGTCAAATTAAATTTGTCTCAAAGTTTAACTGTTGTAGAAACAAGCTATTGTAAAGCCTAACACCAATACAAATATTTCCAGAAATTTAAAAACAAAAGCCAAAACCTCCCAGAAAAACAACTGATGAAGTAAATAAACATTCCCCTGCTGAATTTTGCACCCAGTATTACAGCACTAAAGACTTAAAAGTGAAACATTCTAAATAATCAAAAGCCAGAAGAACTTAATTGATTCTCATTATTCATTGTGCATAGAGGCTGTTTTTTGCTTTCATTTTCCTGGCAGATCCCATACTTTTCTCTAAAACTATGCTACTTAAGTGATTGCAAATGTCCCTAAACTATATACGGTTTTGTAACTGCTTTGTGTCTTTCAAGAATCTCAAAGAAGCATAGACACATTTTTATGTAGGCACTATTGTGCGCTAGTGAGGTATCTGAGGTGCATCATTCCTTCATGTTGTTTTTATTACTGCAGACAATTTTTTTTCCTCAACCAATTTTTTTCCTGCCATTTGTTCTGTATTTTTTGTGACAGTATCTGGCAACCCTACTTAGATTGTAAGCACTGTCTTTTTTGGTTCTGTGTTCCTAAAGCACCTAGCACAACAGGACCTAGATCCATGACTAGGGCTCCTAGGCACAACTGTAATATACATAATAATAATAGTAATACTAATAAATTGATTTGCTTATGGTCACATGAAGGGCTAGCGGCCCAGCTGGGAGCAGACAGATGCATTGAGAGGCTAAGAACACTTGTGTGCAGAGGCTCGGGAAGGACCCATAAGTTTTCCCACAATATGCACAAACCATGTCCTACAATGGCTCAGTTTGGTGAGGTGCTGAGACCTCTGGATATGTCCTTAAAAAATTTTTAGTGCTGAATCTGTATAATTGAAGCCACATGGGTATGAGTTGTGTGCAACTCTGCAATGTGACTGCGTGGAGGCAGTCTCGATCAGCAAGCATGGCTCCGTGTGCATCCCTGCCACTACTCAAGTACGCTTTGCAGTGTGCACATACCCTGAGACCTAATAGACCTGATGTCCTCTCCTCTGATCTAATCGTTAGCCTATACTCCCTCCGAAAGCTACAAGTATTTTTCTCTAGTGGTTGCATAGCTTGGAGAAGATGGTCTAAGGGTTAGATCCTGGGTGGTACTGTGTGTCCAATATCTTCAGCTGCTGGAAGCTTAAGGCATATTACTTTCATACCATCATATTACTAGAATGGTGTGTAACTTTATTCTAGGATACCCTTGTATTTTCCACTGGGAAGGGAAATTTAAATAAGTCCTCTTTCGGTGAGGGAAGTAGTCTCCTTTTGCCTTGTATAATTCACTGCACATCAATTACCTTGCATTTTGCACAATCCCAACCCTTTCCCCATACCCACATCACTGGCACACCACTGGCACACGATTTTTATTTGCAGTTCTCCTCTGCAAATGAAAGAATAAATGAAAAGCAGTTTAAATGTGCAGCTGTTATTTGCAGCACGATGAAGAGGTCTGGGCAAAGAGAAAGGATTTCCTCTCGCAGCACAGCTGATTTCACTTTCACATGCTGGGAACTCTTCAAGGGCAGAAGAATCTGAAGGGAGAGTTTTGAGGGTTTTTTAAATAATTTTTCATGAGCAACTGGAAAGGAGACCCTGGGGGGAGCTATTTCAGGGTATGCGTTTAGCATCTGTGTCCTCTTGAAATTAATGAATATGACCATTTTAGTGAGGCACAGTATGTTTGTACTGCTGTTATCATTACGTTAACCAGCGTAGGTAGTATATTATATAAAACTATGTGGATCTGCCTTACAAATCCATGCCACTGGAGGCACCCTATCTGGAGTACTAACATGCTGTAGGAGATGTGACCTGATTGTTCAACCAAATAGTCCCACTACACAACCCAGTCCATAGATCTACTCTGATCAGCAAGGGAACACCATCTGTAATCAGATTAGGAGAACTATCCCATCAGCTGTCTTTCTCCCAAAGGAAATGTTTGGAAGATTTGGCAAAGGAATTGCATCTGCTAATATCCAGACTGTTATATTCCACATGCAGGCATCATATTGGCATTTGCAAATGCTATACTTGATCTATTCTGAGGGAAAAGTCTGGTGCTCCTCGATGTTTGAAATGTGAAGAGTTGGAAAGAAAGGCAGTGTAGATTAGTGGTTAAAGCAGGGGTTGGTGTCAAGAGATCTGGAGGGTCACACCTGGCGCTGAATGTCCTTGTGCCTCACTTTCCTCATCTGTGTGATGGGGATGGTAATACCTCTCTACCACACAGGAATATTATGAGCCTTAATTAATTAACACTAGTAAAGAGCTTGGAAATCCTGAAGGCATGAATATAATAAAGGCAGTATGTAGAAGGACAAGATACTACTACTAACTGTCACTGTGCTATCACGCTAAACATGTGTATTATATATAGAAGATCACTTAACATGGTAGTTCTTCACATCATAGGCCTTCTGTGGGATGCTAGATTCCTCTGTTCCAAAACCAATAAAGTTCCTCTTTTCTGCAGTTGCACAGAATTAGAACTTTCAGAGATCCCTGCCTTTCTCCAAAATCCTTATTACTCAGCAGGAGAGGAGGGTCATTGCCTTTTTGCAGAGCTCTTCTAGAGCTGGGTGTGACCCAGCTGTTTCTGTGTCCCTCTTTAATTATTTCTCTTGCATAGAAATTAGATTGACACATTACTTGTCTTAGGAATTAATTACACAAAATGTCTCTGCAGTCGGACAAATAGGAGGGGAGGTGGAGGGAGGGAAAAGAGGTGTTCAGATGACTATTGTGGGCATTAAGAAGCATGTGGCAACAGAGAACATTTACTTGTGAGTCATATATTTGGAATGAAGATATTGCTTGCCAGTAAATACCGCTGGCATTGTACTGAATTCACACTCTGACTTCCTTCTGCTGTCATCATTTCCTCACTATCGGATTCTTCTGATGATGGGGAATCAATGACATGTTTGATTTAATATAAAAGTTGAATTAATAGATAGTTCAGAAATAGTCAAACACTAGAAAAGGTTGTGACACATTGCCTGCGAGCTGCTTACCTTTTCTGGCAATGTGACCTAGTCAGCCTTTAGAGAGATGTTAGAAAAATATGTGAATATCTCAGGATATGTCTACACTACAGAGGGTTTTTTTTTTTTTTTTTTAAAAATGACTGTTTTTCCGAAAAAAAATTCAATTACGTTCACACTGCAATCACATTCTTCTGAAAGAAAATTAAAAGAACAGAGGGGTTTTTCCCACATTGGTAATCCTCATTCTATGAGGAAGAAGCCTTTTTCCAAAAGAACTCTTTTGGAAAAAGGTGTGTGTGGATGGGGAACAGGGAGTTCTTCTGAAAGAAGAAGAGGAAAAAGCTCAAGGGGCCATTCCGTCCATAGTAATCACAGCTTACATGTGAGATAGCATCCATTCAGTGTGGATGCTATCTTTCAAAAAAGCAGATCGCTTTTTCAACGCACTTTTGCAGCGTTGACACCCTCTTTCGGAAGAAGTTTTTTTGGAAGGTCTCTTCCGGAAAAGCTTCTTCCGAAAGAAGCCTGCAGTCTAGACATAGCCTTAGAGGGGTAGTCGGTAACTTTACAAAACAATGAGTAGCCCTGTAGCACCTTATAGACTAACAAATATTTATACATAGTATCATGAGCTTCTGTGGGCAAAACCCACTTCCTGAGATGACTCTTTTTCTCCGCTCATCTGAGGAAGTAGGTTTTGCCCATGAAAGCTCATGATACTATAATTTTTGTGTTAGTCTCTAAGGTGCTACAGGACTACTCATTTTTTAAAAGTATGCAAATGGTAAGTGGGGGCCATGCCGTGTAAATTAGAGGTGATACTAATTGTACGTATATTTATTTCTACCTTGTTGCATGTTAGCAATGTAACAGACAGTTCCTGTCTTATCCCTATAACTATTGATTCAGAGATCAAAAGGGAATATTAATGATTAATTATGGGTGAAGTAATGTCATTGTCTCTTTAAATTCTATGGTAAACTGCTTAATAGATAAATTACCTTATGTTCATCCATGTAGCTAATAAGTGGTGATGCTTGGGAAACAGAAGGTTACATCAAAAGCCTAGTGTTCAGGACGGTATGGTTAACAGGCTGCTGGAACACTGTATAGAAAACTCTTGGGATCTGATCCTTTCATCTCAAATCTGCTTGAAATTTCGTGCAGGGGAAGCTTAAGTCATAACACTGTCCTCTCCAAGCCCCACCCTGAATATGGGCAGCGGACTTTTATAACCAGTGGATTAGTTCTGACAGAACTCTTGGCAGCTACAAACTTCACCATCTCTACTATGAATATGCCCTCAGAACAGTACTCTTGTCTGGATGCCTACTGATCATTTAACCAATACTCTTTCTGGTTTTCCTTTTTAAATACATTTTAGTTTAGTTATTAAGTCTAGTTGTTAAGAATTGGCTGTAAGCATGTATTCAGTAAGACCTGACCTATTCATTAACCCAGGAGATAATGTGTCTAATCCTTTGGGATTGCTAGAACTTTCTTATCTGGTAAATAGGATTTTTGTATGTGATGTGGGTGTTCAGATGGGAGCCTAAGGCTGGTTTGCTTTAATGGATCTGTGTGGTTGGCTTCTGGGTAACTTCTAAGAGGCCATAGGAGCTGTTTT